CCCCAAAACCCCAAAACCCCAAAACCCCAAAACCCCAAATGTGAACAAAGTGTTTGAAAAGAGATATATAATTATAATACTTCACAAAACACATACTGATGAACACTTTAGACAAACAAGGGATTAGCCAAATGCTTCATGAGATAGAAGAGCCGAGGAACAGTCTTATCTTTCCTGGTGTGAAACTTCCTGTTATTTTCGAAAGTAGAGATAAAAACATTATTATTAATTTATGCGCGCCTTTGAAATATAATCAAGAAGTATTTATGGATGAAAAATGCTGCAGACCTATTATAGGTATCAAAAATGATAAAGTACTAAAAGATCTTCAGCTAGAGAATAATTCAGAAAATGTCTCAAATAATGGGGCTAACACAAACTGTTTATTTTCAGAACATCAGAGAATCTGATCCGATAGAATACTATCAGAATCCCTTAAAAGCCACATTATGTTCCACCAATCCTCTCACCTAAGCCAAAGATCTTTCGGTATAGAGTTGAAGAGTGAAAATTCTGGATCAACTGATAGCTCAAGGAGTTCACCAAGAATCGATTTCATAAGCAAGGGCTCAAGATCCGAGGAGATTTCAGTATTAAAGGATTATCAGTATTCAGTAACCTACATAAAGCCCAGAGGAAGCAAGAGAAGCAAAAGAGTGATCAATTGAAGATACGACAACTGTCAAAAATTCTTTTATAAAACATGGAACTTTATCGACCACGCCAGAATGCACTTAGGAGTAAAACCTTTTGTGTGAAATCTTTGTCGATCATGCTTTACTCAGAAAGGAAATTTGAAAACCCACTACAAATCCTGTATACAGAAATATTCTTAATTATTATAACCCTGCTTAGTTCTGGCTATAATTTCCGTATAAATAGCTTCCTTAAAACCGGCTAAAAGGTGAATTCAATTGGTTTGGCCAAATGCACTAAGCGTTCTTTTCCTACCAAAAGAGTTCATTAAATTACCTCATTTGTCAGGTAGAGAAAGACATTTAGGAAGAAAAATCAAACCCTAGTGGGAATAAGATTTTTATGAATATTTTAGAAGACTGATAAGCTTCTAGGAGCGGATTGTTTCAATTATAAGGTGGAAAATAGGGGTTTTGGGGTTTTGGGGTTTTGGGGTTTTGGGG